CTCGGAGCTGGGCGTTACCATTTCACGGCGGTGCCGACACCGCGTCGAGGTCCCGCAGCATTAAGGCTTCATCATATTAACGAAATATTCCCGAGCACATTGATTCATACCCTATGAAACAGCCTAATGAATAATTAAATGGCACTTGTCAGAATAAATGAGTAAAGCACGTCCAGGGATGCAGCTTCCACAGCAATGTGCTGTTGTTAATGGCCACCATTTGCCAGGGCTCCATCCCACCCGGCGGCTGGCTCCGCCTTGCCCCACAGCAAGTTGGGGGGACCACCAGGGACAATCCCTGACTGCCACTGGTGACTCCGTGTGTGTCCCTGCCCTGTCTTGCCAGCACATCGTGGGCTGGCAGGCATCCCTGCCACGGCATGGGGCACCCCGGGGTGCTGCTGGGGTGAACTTGGGTGCATCGGGGAGGGGATCCCACGGCACCACTTGCAGCATCCCGGGGCAGAACGCGTTGGCCGGGGCCACCCCAACCACTCACCTCTCTGGCGCACCTGGATAGTCCTCAGGGCCAGCACATTCTGCTCATCGGAGAGGAACTGCTTCATCTTGATGAACGGCTCCTTGCCCTTCACCGTCAGCTTGCGCCAGGGCTTGGGCCGGGCCAGGATCTCGCTGACGGAGCCCTGGGACAGCCCCAGCACGTAATGCCCGAAGACCCGCTGCCCGATGTTGTGCTTCAGCAGCTGCTCCTTCACCTGGAAGGCGATTTCGGCCGTATCCAGCTGCTCCTCCTCGGCAGAGCACTGCCCTCGGACGGCTCACCAGGCGGGCTGGTGGCGCTGGTGGCCGGCGTGGTGCCGGGGGGCACAGTGCCGCTTTTGGCCCCAAAGAAGGTGGAGGGGAAGGACGGCCCCCCCCCGGCATTCTCGCTCTTGTAGGTGGGCGGCAGGACGTGGGGGGTCTTGGGGTCCCCTGAAAGCCGTTCGCCCCCCGGGAAAGGGGACAGCGAGAAAGTCCGGGGGCCGTCAGGGGCTGCACCAGGGCCGAGAGGAGGCGGGAGGGGAGCAGGGGAAGTAGGTTCATCCGCCGGGGCGTGCTGGGGGGATGGGTATGGCTGCTCCATGCCCAGCGAATCCTTTCCCGACTCGTCTTCGGAGTGATCCTCCTCTAGAGATGAACGAGAGAGAGGGAGACGCACTAGAGTCCCCCCAGCCAGCAGCCCCGGCATAGCCCCACAGCGAAGCATCTCCTGCCTCCGTTTCCCTGGGTGGCATCCCACCGCCTCTCCTCCCCCCTGCCCCACTGCTGGCTCTGAGCTCCTTCCCACAGTCGGGGCAGGATCTGGCCCTGCCACCCATATTCCCAGGGATGCTCCTGGTGGGACCGGGGATGCCATGGGACCTGTCAACCCTACCAGTGCTGGCCAGGAGGCTGGGCTTCTCCAACAGGTACTTCTGGGAGGGGTAGAAAGCCTCCTTCCCCAGCAGCAGGGCCTCCTCCGCCTTCGTTATGCTCTGCAAGGAGCCAAGCCGAGATGGGAAAGGGTGGCGGGGCC